GGGCATCGGGGCGGGGGAGGAATGCTTTGGGTTTGGTTTTGTTCCGCCGGGCGGGTCGGGAATCCTGCTCGGCCAAAGGAGCGCTCCAGAAGTAGCGGTCCTGTGCTCTATGGCGAAGACCTGGGCGGACGCGGGAGGACTGACATTTATTAGGCCCGATCCTGAAACCCTTTTTTTTCTTTCTTTCTTTCTTTCTTTCTTTTTTTTTAACTGTTTCATTCCACCTTTCCCACCGCTTTCCCTCCTGGGAAAATGAAAGTTTTGGATGGCAGGAGCAGGGCCCCCGTGCACTTGGGAAGGCGAAGAGGAGCCCCTGCTGCCCCGCAGACAGCTCAACTCCCTCCTTTTCTTGCCCCTGGGGACGTTTCTCTGCCTGCAGCCCCGTGTCCCCGTGTGAGGCGTGCAACCCCATACAAGACGTAGAGCCGCTGACTCCCATCCCAGCTTCGATGGGACAGTTTACACCAGCGGAGGTTTTGGCCCCGGCGGGGATGGGGAGGCAAGGCGGCGGGGTGGCTTTCGGCGAAGCTGGTTATGGTTGCTACCGGGCTCCCTGTTGGAAAGAGAGGATTATTTCGAAGCCTTCTTTTTCCCGTAGGTCACCGTGTTTTATTATTTTGCTTCGTGCTTGCTGACGGATGTAGCGCTGTAGGGAACCGCCTGATCTGAAAAGAAAGCGTCGGTCATTAGAGCTTCCCCGGGGATCCCCGGGCTGTAACGCGGGATAACAGACGCGGGATAAAGCGTCAAACTGGTTTTCTTCGAATCCGGTAAAACTAAGATTCATTTTACTCGAGACAGAAGTTGCTGAAAAAGATGATCCGAGTGAAGTTACTTGGAATTTTAGGATTGTGTTTCATATCGAATATTTACGCATCGAGAGTGTCTTCGTTTGACGTTGGCAAAAGCCGGTATTTGAGAAACGTCAGTGTTTTGCATCGGGAAAATTTAATCGATAATTTAATGGAATTTTACCGGAATTTGGAGGCGTTTCTAGTCCTGTTTGTATTGAAAATTTTACGATTTGAGTTATAAAGCAAACGCTCCGAGTCTTTTTGTCTTTTCTTAATGACGAATTCCCTAGTAACTCGCGCGTAACTGTACCAAGGCCAAAGGAGTCGGTCTGGATTTTCGGCGTTGAAGCAAAATGATAGCAAAACTATATATAGCTGATAGCAAAACCTGGGCTCTAACACGCTCTCTCCGTCCCCTCCGAACACACATTCAGCTCATCAGCACATCCACGGCTGCAGCAAGAAAATAATCTCCCTAACGATATGTCCCGACTGCGGCCTCTCTCCCAAACCCCGAATCCGTACAGGAGCCGTGGGAATCACTTTCCATCCGGCCATGGACAAGCTCCAGCCTTAAAGAGGAGAAAACAGTCGCGATAGAAAGAGGGGGTGGGGGGAGAGAGAGAGAGAGGAAAACCACCGCAGCTACAAGAAATTCGATTGTTGAAATGTAATGTAAATTGTGTATATCTTTGCATATGTCTCCACAGGCGCTTGTGTTTGCGTATCAAACACTCGCACAGGCGCACAGACCGACTCTGCAACCGGGCGGCTGCCTATATTTAGATACGTCCCGCTCGCTCGCAGGGTAATAAAACAGGAAACCACGTAGATTTCCCCCGCGACACACACACACGCGCACACACACACACACTTGTCAGGTAGAAATCAGCGACGCTTCCCCGGGAGGAGGAGAAGCAGCAGAAGATGCCGGAGCACGGGCAGTCCCCCCGGCAGCGCAGCACCTGCCCGGCCTCCCAGGGGCTCCCGGGAGCAGGGGGCAAAGGTGGCCCGGAGGTTAAGGGCCTCTCCCCGGCAGGCCCGGGGCTTTGGCAGGCGATTTTCCGCTCCGCTTGTCCTGTCAGTGGGAAGGGGACGCGCCCCGAGGGCAGCCCCCGGCCCTCCCCGCGGCTCCCCCGGGTCTGCGGCACCAAACCGCCGGAGCGGGCAGCTCCTCTCGGAGGGTCCCGCAGCCCGAGGCAGGGATGCTCCTGCCCTTAGGCGGTCGGGAGCGCCGGGAGCTCCGCCGGAGCGGGGCCGACCCCGGCGGCCGAAAAGCCGGACCCCCCGCGGCCGGGGGAGCCCTAAGGCGGTGGCAGCGGTGGCTCCAGCGAGCAGCCCGGTTTTTTTCCCCAGGTGATGGGAAAAATAAAGGGCAGGTCTGTCTGCCCCGGCCACAGGTACCGCTCCTAGCCTGTCCGAAAGCCTCCCCAAAGCGGACTCTTCCTTCGCGTCGTTCGCTGCTGCGGGGAGCAGCGCGATTAACCGGGGAGCAAGGTGAACCGGGGAGCAAACGAACCCTTCCCCAGCCGAGTCGCACGGCGGTCAGCGCCGGGACCCCGCACCGCTCCGC